TAAAAAAAAAAAAAAATAGGAGAAAAAAAAAAAAAAAAAAAAAGCGAACCCCGAAAAAAACCACCAAGCCTGTTTTGATTAGGCTGTCATCGATATGGTTGTTCACAAGCATCTCGAACGGTTTGGAGTTGTCAGGGCTCTCTGCCACTAAACCGAACCGACGACTAGCGCCTTCTGCCCTGCAGGGGCGTGCGTGGCCCTAAGCGCCAGGGATGTGAGGCCCCCACGACCACAGTGGCGGTGAGTGAGAAGGTATATGAGTGGTGGTTGGAGGGCTATGAGTGTGTTTGTAATGATGCTCTGCTGCCTAGAGATACATAGCCACATAACAATTGTCTTTTTTCTTTTTTTCATATTTAATGACAAAGATGTAAAATATCACTTTATAAGACAGAAAATAGTTGAACCGTCTAGAATGGATTTCCAAAAGAGGTCGAATGAGTCACTGGGTCCCTGATGTTGATTGCTCTGTCCCTAGCATGTACATTAATGAAGTGGATATTCTCAACACTCTTTCTTCACAGACAGACAAAGACTAAGAAATGTTTCTGTGTCTCAATTTCGGGCGTTTTTCAATACTGCCACATGTAGAACTAGGATCTGAGAACCATGCCTAGTGAATCCGGTGCTGACTCCACAAAGCCATTCTTCGAGTACAGTCTCCGTCCAGCCTCATCCGCCAGTAATGAAATGTAGGGATTGCCATCTGAAGGGGCCTTCTTGTAAATTTCCTGTACTAGGGCCTTCAAGATCACATCTCCAAGACCTTTCCTCTGGTGGTCCGGATGGACGGCCATATCGACGATATGGAAATACCAGCCGCCATCTCCAATAATCCTCCCCATGCCAATGGGTTGTGGATCGTCGTTGAAGGCGTTAAACATAATATAGCATCCAAACCAGCTTCCCGAGGGGACAGCAGCCGCCTGTGATGGTGTCTTTGGGGAAAGCTTGGCAGCGGATCGAAGGTGTAGGTATTGAGGGACTGATGGGTAGCCGATGCGAAGACTGTATCCAGTAGGAAGGATATTTGAGCCCATTTTGAAAGAAAGTCAGTATAGAGCCCGATGGAGTGAAAGAGTAGATGTTCACAGAGAACATCTTACTGTGGGGTATTATAGAGAGACTGGATTTAGACTAGCGTATGTCAGACGAGTCAACAACTTAACAGTTAACTACTATATATTCTTTATGCCTTATTTCTATACAAGCAAAAGCGTAATTCCTGCCATGATCGCAAAAAATGCCCCAAGGGAAGACAATGCGATCGTGGTCTCATTCAATGGGTGTTTAAAGGCATAAAACACCCAAGAACCAGCAAACAAGAACCACCAGACTGGAGATGCAGCCCACATAATCCGATCTATGTAGAGAATTAGTAAATTCTCTGAAAAGAGATTCTAAGATATTACCATGCTTAGCCTGCAATCCTAATTCCGGTAAAAACAATAGTAATAGAACGGTCGCTAAAGACAAGGAAGAGGCAGTGGCGACATCTGCAAATATAGTCAGCTCAAACTACGCAGGGAAAATAAGAAAATAGAAAACATACAACCACTGAGAATTGCCGATGGCCTTTTATTCATGACCTCGGATAAATCCTCTTGAACCGTACTATGAATACATAATCCGACATTGTCTCCGAAGATACGCTGGACAGTATCTCGAGAGGCGGGTGTGAGCTGTGAGAACCGGCCGATTTCCCATTTATTGGCATGTTTCTCAGCGACATCGACGGGGACATCATATTTGTTGACGAGGAGTTGGGTGATGTAGGTACGAACTTCTTCTGCGGGCGCAGAGGCCGATGGAAAGGTTGTGACACCTGTCGGTAAAGATTTCTTTTCCATTGAAATAATCATTGATGTACAACATACAGAGTAAAAAGAGACTCCGATATTCTTAATATACTATCTTCCCAGGGCTGTGCCAGGTTATTGTGGGGGCCAAACATGTTAACCACAAACAGCTACATCGGTTTCAGATGTGCGTCATTTGATTTGACGATAGTACGATCAGTTATATGTAGATGGTTTGATGTTTGTGAAGTATTGGCCTTGAGGCCTTGATAATATGTTTATTTACAATATCATCTATAGTATAAAATATACACTATCGACTGGATTATAGCTATCTCGCATTTTACTGGATACGAGCTGTATACCCTTTTTTTTTTTTAATCAGACATATATATAAACATGTAAATATTAATACAATTTCTAATATAAATCTCTAAAAGAATATATATATATATATATATATATATATGCCGTCTAAAACGGGAAGACCGAGAAGTAGGCGTACACCTCACCATGTGCTCATGTGAATGTCATCCTTTTTTTTTAACCCTATAGATATCTAGTGTAGGAATTTTGTTTTAGCAACTGAATAATTTGAACCTGCACCACAAATAACCAACATCATGGCGACCATGGCAGAAACTATTCACCAAAGTCGGAGGACGATGAAGTCAGTATTTGTCCCATGAGTAGAGATGTCCCTGTTGACAAAGCAAAAAAGATCTCGCAACATCGCCCTAGGAAGTATCTTTGGAGTCATCGGTGGTACAGTGTTGATGTTCCGCTTCCTAGCTCCTCAACGAGATAGAATTGTCTCGAATGAAGAGGTAGCCACGTACCGGGGTGGCGACTCTGCTCAAACAGCTCGATCGCCTCGGAAGTGATATCAACTCAAAGAAAGCGTGTAAGGGAAATGCTATCTGAGAAAATGAACCATACCAGAAATTTAGCAGTGAAATCATATTGAACTTCTACCATTCAATTAAGGGGTACATGGACTCCGAAAATTCATTCTTATAAATATGAGTCTGTCTAGGAGACAATCCTGGAATAGCTTCAGCAGTGACGAGATAGCTTGAAAAGGCATATAAAAAAGTGGATCTCTGAATAGCTTCATAATTACCTCATTTGGTTGAGAAGGATCCAGCAAATCAAATCACTAGAATAGTAAAAAAAAAAGCAAGGTGAACAGGAAGTTAAGGACCAGACATGTCAGAGGATGGCATGTACTCATGTATGGACTGAATATTGAACCTTGAAGCCGTTATGTACTCCGAATGAGATGGTATCTGGTATCAAAACAAAAAGCCCACGCGCCAAATCAAAAGCAGATATCCGGAAAACAAATGAACCACCCAGTCAATTTACAGAATTTTTGTTTACATGGTGTTACCCCCAAATTGCAGATACAACAGTCAGGTAGATGGCAGGGTATCATTGGGTCCATCCCCTTTGAATGGGCTTCCACCACTGCCAGCCCGGCTTCCGGGTGAATTGATACTCTTCTTCTTCGAGTCTTTCTTGTCACGCTTCTTTTTCTCACGTGTACCCCCCCGGGATTCATCGGGTCGGCTTGGACTGCGACTAGACTCGCTGCGACGGAGATCTTTGAATTCCTTTATCACCTCACGGAATCCTTCTTCGATGTTATTCATGCGAGCTAGAACCAATTTGCTAAGCATGTCTTGGGTTTGGGTTGGGGCTTCACGACGATGGACAGGTGGGGCAAACCCTAGTTGAGTCTGGAAACTAGACGGAAGGGCACCGGTGAAGCCACCCGCCACGGCCCTGTTATCGCCTAGATCAGATCCCAGATCGAAGAGAAGGGCCGATCGAGGCCGTGTCCCTGTGGGTCGACTAGAGAGGTAGATACTGTCGACTTCGGGAACAGACATATGATTTAGTCCAATCGGAGGATTTCGAGGACGAGACGTGTCTACAATGTGACGCTTCATGGTACCCTGGTCTACCGAGGTAGAGATGCCAGGGCGTGATTCTTCATCGGAGGAATCGGCATCTGGCCGTGGAGGTGTGTCCCGGCCTTCCGTCTCTTCATTCGGAGATCCACCCGGGTTGTACAGCATGGTGACCCCGGACGCATTCCGCGTATGCCTGACACGACGTGTAGGGCTGCTGCGACGCGAGATAATTCTTGCTGTAGATGGGCGAGAGCTGTAGAACTTGGGGGAGGGCTTCTCTGCACCGCCCACCGAGTTAGACGATGCCTTGTCCGTGGACCCCTGGCCCGAGTGTTTGTCATCGTTTGAGTCACCATTATGACTGGTAAGTTCATCATCGCCCTCCATATCTGTATGATGGGAGAGTTGTCGTTTCTGAGTGGGCGAGATAGAGGGTCTTGTGCGCCGAGGCCGAATGGCTGGGCTTGCAACGCAGCTTGTTCGGTCCTCAGGATTCGAAGCAACTGATCGGGTCGTTTCCGTGAAATTTCGAGGTGGGTTGGCCAACCTAGCGCGGAATGGAGGGTTAGGTCGTTTCGGGTGCATCTCATGTTGGTCCACAACCAGCGAATCTCCATCATCGGGACCATTGGCTGGCCCAGAGCCAATCTCCTGCATCCAGTCTTTGATGACGTTATTGGTGCGGCGTTCATGCACAGTACTCGGTGGCCCTCGAATTCGATCATCACTGTATGGGCGTCGAAATACCTCCTCCAACGCTCGATCCTTCTGGTACGTTGCCACAGAGGGCTCCCGCCTTAAAACCGATGCCCGGGTGCTGAAGCCACGGAATCGACTGGGCCGATGTGGGGTTTCATTCGGCGAGGTAGGTTCAATTAGATCCATTGGCTGAATGACTCGAGAACTGAGGATTGTCTTCTCATAGAGGCATATTGTGAACAGTATGGGTAAGTGGGTTATCTTTATGATGGTCCGGTTGAGCCGAATGAATTCACGGAACGGCATCAGGTATCGGAATGGTGTCACTAGCCAGGCAATGACGTTCGTCGGAGCCACATAGGAGAATAAAGCATCGGACTTGACCATCGAGATGGTGTTGACAGCGAACAAGAACTGATGTTCTTGGTTTGCGTTCTGGACAATTCTCATGAAGGAGTTGGTCAGAACCGTGATCAAGATAGTGACGACAACAAAATGACAGATGAATAGGAAGACCGTCAGGATCGTTTTCCCTAAAAAGTCATATTCATCCCACATTGCCCATGCTGTTGGCGTAAATCCCATCAGCATCTGGAACAACCCATAAGCCACCACTTTGGGGGATTTGTTATCTCCAAAGTTCAAGAAAGCGACAAAAAAGCCAGAGCAGGAAATGACAATGAGAACGAACACGGCAATCAGATCCGATGCCATTATTCGGAAAGCAATGAGTAGCTGGGAGAAGTAGCGATAATGATCCAATATGGAAAACAACCTCGGAAATAGCAAGGGGGCAGTGGCGGTGAGAACATCGAACTGCAATGAATTAGCATATATCGCAGGTTTAAGCACCTTCGTAAAGATAGTAAGATTTACCGCTTGATCGGCGATGAATTGACTTCTGGGGTAGGTCAGGAATGTCCCGTATATCCTCAAGCAATAGTATGCGAAGAGCAATAGTAGAATTCCGACGTCGAACAGATTCCAAAAGCTCATCAGATAAAGACTGAAGCCTTGCTCATTGAACCCAACAACCTCATCAAGCATGAATCCGGCACTCCAAAACCAGAATACAATCTCAAGGGATGTGACCCTGCGGCTGCGCTGTTCCAGAACAGCCAAGAACAGTCCCAAGAGTACTGCATATGATAGAGTGGAAAGAAACTGTCGATAGCGTGGCACCCTCAGCCGTGATAGTTTGAATAAAGACGCGTCCCGGGGGTTGTAGATTGTCACTGATCGCCGAAGTGTTTTATTGCTCGAGTCGATTGCAATGTTCCCATTGTGATCCATTGCCGCCCCATAATCCAGGTCTCTATCTTGGCTGTTTATAGGACGATGGAGATTGTCAGCGGCAGAGTGGAAGACAACCGTCCCCGCCCAGATCGCCTCCAATTGTTGGACCACGACAGGATGGGCCAAGAACCGCTTGGCCTGTGAGCGAATGGCAACCTCCAAGCATGAGACACGGGCAGCAACTACCCGTTTCCGCTGGGGACCCGTGACCAATACCGTGGATTGATCTTGGCCCTGAAGTGGATAGAACTCGTAGGACAGTGCATCAATCAATTCTCGGGTCGAGTATTCCCGCAATAATTTTATTGCTAACAGTTCACTAACCATTGCCCGTGTTTGATTTGCCCCGCTGTTCCCTGGACTTAGGTGTATTTCTCTCTCGAATTGCAAACAATTGGCCATTAATGCATAGAGGGTCGCTCGCGAAAAGTGGGCCGACATGATCTTCTGCAGGATTGGTTTGATCAGGAACTGGGAGACCTGCGGCGAGCGTAATTGGTCCCATGTTAGGGTAGTTTCGCAACGGGAGGCGATCAAGGGACGGATAGCGTGGGTTATGTTGTAAACAGGGAGCGCATCTAATCACTGTTGGTCAATTGTCCATGGTACACATCGTACCCTAGAGATGTTTTCGTACCCAGATGTGAGGCAGAGAACATAGGTAGTAGAGGTGTAGATTCAAATGGTTGATCGTCTTCCTCTTCTTCATCCTCCCAGTCCTGGTCCATATCCCTTTCATTGATTCCTTGAAGCTCTGGGGCATCATCGCTGCTTTCATCGGCTCGGACGCGTCGCGGGTCATGTGCGCGAAACCACGGGGAGGGAGTTGAGAATGGAAACTGCTCGGTTTGCCCTCGCTGCAGTTTTGGACGAAGCAGCGAGGTGAACATTTTGAGAAAATGTGAATCTAATTCAGCATAACCGAGGTTCCAAGGTTGATTGGAAGGTAGGGATGTTTAGAGCATTGTGGAGTCGAACGCGAACGCGAGAAAATGAAAATAGAGCAAAAGAGCAGAAGAGCAGAAGAGCAGAGTAAAAGAGTTAAAGTAAAGCAATAAATTCAAGGTTTGTCAAAGTAAAAGGTTTAAGTCCAAGCGCGATTAATTTAGTCCAAAGATCCTATACGTTGGGGGAGATCTTAAGCTCCCACTATGGTCAACCCCCCACGTCATTGTACTTTTTTCCCCCCCTGGAGGTTTAAGGCTTAATTATTTTTATACTTAACCTACTATATAGTGTGATATACTCTTTATACTCCGTACTTCGTACTCGTTATATTCTTGATATTCTTCATGTTTATAGATATTATTTAAATTTAACTATTATATCTTATATCTATTGAAAAATTTTTTTTTCACTGTCTCAACAATATGCAGAGATGTAGAGAATATACAGAATGCCCGACATGTACATATAACAGATCAGAAAAGATTCGCCACATATGTGTGACATGAAAAAAAAAGGCTAATTGTATTATACCTTTATAGAAGCAGTTTACTCCGTAACTATATAATACCTATATCAGATTTATACGGAATACCCCGTATATAAATATGTGGTACTCCGGACCACAGCAATATACGATCCCGTTATCGGCCCACTGCCCGTGCGTTGCATCATATGCAGTAAATACCTGCATGTATAAAGAGAAGGGGGATTGATAGAGTAAGTTAGTCATAGATGAATTTCAGTCATTGACAATGTATTCGATTGTAATTTATCTTGGTATTCAAAAAATATTTATAAAAATTGTATAATACAATAAGCTAATAAATTTAAAAGATCGGAAAATCTCTGCGGTGAAACCGATTGACCGAAAACAGGAAAAGTGGGGAACACTGAAAAAGCTTTTGAAAATATTTTCTGCCGAACTCGCTTTTCCTCTCTTCCTCCTCCACCAGCTGGTTGCAGCAACTCATTATCTCTTCTTTACTCTTTGTTATATCTATACTCCCTTTTTTGTCCTTTTGTTCCTTGCCCAAAATAAACCCCCAATTCGCAGATGAACTAGAGTTACCTGCTTGAACTCAGATCGTCCTCGAGAGGACTTGTTCCCTCACATCTCCAATTCCTCATGTCTCAGCCTGTCAATCTTTTGGAGCCAGTTCTGCCCACCAGTCCACATCTAGGTGGTGCAGTTGGTTACCCGGAAACTCTGCCCAACATGGCTTCTGTCAAAGGAGTGATCAAGCCAGCATGCATCCCAGTTCGGGGTGGCTCAGACCGTTTGGTTTCCCTCGAACTCGCAGATGGCACTGTTTACCAAGGTTACAACTTTGGTGCTGAGAAGAGCGTCTCGGGTGAATTGGTCTTCCAGACTGGTATGGTCGGTTATCCCGAGTCCATCACCGACCCTTCATACCGCGGCCAGATCCTGGTTGTTACTTTCCCACTCGTGGGTAACTACGGTGTTCCTTCACATGATGAGATGTGTGAGCTTCTGAAGGACTTGCCCAAGCACTTCGAGTCCAGCCAGATTCACATTGCAGCCCTGGTGGTGGCATCCTATGCCGGCGAGGACTTCTCGCACTTCTTGGCCAAGTCCTCTCTGGGCGATTGGCTCAAGTCCGAAGGCATTCCGGCCATGCACGGTGTCGACACTCGTGCTTTGACCAAGCACCTTCGTCAGACCGGTAGTATGCTGGGCCGCATGCTGCTCCAAAAGTCCGGCGCCAGCCCCGAGGTTGCTGGTACCACCGGTGCCGATTGGAAGTCATACTTCGAGGAGACTGAATGGGTGGACCCAAACACAAAGAACCTCGTCGCTGAGGGTGAGTGATCTATTAAGCTGATGCAGTGAAAAAGCAAAGGACTTGGTTTCTGACAGTTTTCTTTTCTTATAGTCTCAATTCGCGAACCCCGTCTATTCACACCTCCCGCCGATGTCGCCCTGAAACACCCTTCGGGTCGTGGAGTCCGCGTCCTGTGCTTGGATGTTGGTATGAAGTACAACCAGCTGCGTTGCTTGCTTGCCCGCGGTGTGGAGGTTTTGGTTGTGCCATGGGACTACGATTTCCCCACCCTTGCTGGAAAGGATTTCGACGGTCTGTTCGTGTCGAACGGTCCTGGTGATCCCGCGACACTGACCGTTACCACGAAGAACCTGGCCAAGATGTTCGAAGATGCCCGTACTCCCGTCTTTGGTATCTGTCTCGGTCACCAGTTGATTGCTCGCGCTGTCGGCGCCCAGACTACCAAGATGAAGTTCGGTAACCGCGGTCACAACATCCCCTGCACAAGCATGCTCTCTGGCAAGTGCCACATCACTTCTCAGAACCACGGTTATGCTGTCGATTCCAGCAGCCTCCAGAACGGATGGGAGGAGCTGTTCGTCAACGCCAATGACGGCAGTAACGAGGGTATCCGTCACACCAGCCGCCCCTTCTTCAGTGTTCAATTCCACCCCGAGAGCACACCCGGCCCCCGCGATACCGAGTATCTGTTTGATGTGTTCATCAACACCATCCAGTCTACCATTGCCTCCCCCGAGGCTCTTAACCTGCCCGTCTCTTTCCCCGGTGGCACCAAGGCGGAGAATGTCTTGGCTGCCCCCAAGGTCTCGGTCAAGAAGGTTCTGGTTCTCGGTTCCGGTGGTCTTAGCATTGGTCAGGCTGGAGAGTTCGATTACTCTGGTAGTCAAGCCATCAAGGCTTTGAAGGAAGAGGGTATCTATACCATTCTCATCAACCCCAACATTGCCACCATTCAGACCTCCAAGGGTCTGGCTGACAAGGTTTACTTCCTGCCCGTCAACGCCGATTTCGTCCGCAAGGTCATCAAGCACGAGCGTCCCGATGCCATCTACGTCACTTTCGGTGGCCAGACTGCCCTTTCGGTCGGTATCCAGCTCAAGGATGAGTTCGAGGCGCTCGGCGTCAAGGTTCTCGGTACCCCTATTGATACTATCATTACCACCGAGGATCGTGAGCTGTTCGCTCGCAGCATGGATTCCATCAACGAGAAGTGCGCTAAGTCTGCTTCTGCTTCCACTATCGAGGAGTCCCTGCGCGTTGTCGAGGACATCGGTTTCCCTGTCATTGTTCGTGCCGCCTACGCTCTTGGTGGTCTAGGTAGTGGCTTCGCAGAGAACATGGATCAGCTGAAGGATCTCTGCACCAAGGCTCTGGCCGTCAGCCCCCAGGTTCTGATTGAACGCAGTATGAAGGGCTGGAAGGAGATTGAGTACGAGGTTGTTCGTGATGCCCAGGACAACTGTATCACTGTCTGCAACATGGAGAACTTCGATCCCCTTGGTATTCACACCGGTGACTCCATTGTCGTTGCTCCTTCCCAGACCCTCTCCGACGAGGACTACAATATGCTACGAACCACCGCAGTCAACGTCATTCGTCACCTCGGCGTTGTCGGTGAATGTAACATTCAATATGCCCTTAACCCCTTCTCGAAGGAGTACTGCATTATTGAAGTCAACGCTCGTCTGTCTCGATCCTCCGCCCTAGCTTCTAAGGCTACCGGATACCCTCTTGCCTTCATCGCTGCCAAGTTGGGTCTTGGTATCCCCCTGAACGAGATTAAGAACTCGGTCACCCAGTCCACTTGCGCCTGCTTCGAACCCTCGCTTGACTACTGCGTGGTCAAGATCCCTCGTTGGGATCTGAAGAAGTTCACTCGCGTCTCTACTCAGCTTGGTTCTTCCATGAAGAGTGTCGGTGAAGTTATGAGCATTGGCCGCACCTTCGAGGAAGCTATTCAGAAGGCCATTCGCATGGTTGATTTCCACAACCTTGGTTTCAACGAGTCCGATGCTCTCATGTCCATCAAGGGCGAGCTCCAGACTCCCTCTGACCAGCGTCTGTTTGCCATTGCCAACGCCATGGCCGCCGGTTACACCGTTGATGATATCTGGAAGCTCACCAGCATTGACAAGTGGTTCCTCACCCGTCTTAAGGGCCTCAGCGACTTCGGCAAGTCCATCTCCGCCTTCAATGCCACCTCCGTGCCTATGCCTATGATCCGCCAAGCCAAGCAGCTCGGTTTCTGCGATCGCCAGCTCGCCAACTTCCTGGACTCTAACGAGCTCGCTGTGCGCCGCATGCGTGTTGAGGCTGGTATCACCCCTATTGTCAAGCAGATTGATACCGTCGCCGCCGAGTTCCCAGCCTTCACCAATTACCTCTACCTTACCTACAATGCCTCCCAGCATGATCTGTCTTTCGACGATCACGGTATTATGGTTCTGGGCTCTGGTGTCTACCGTATCGGTTCCTCGGTCGAATTCGATTGGTGTTCCGTGCGTACCATTCGCACGCTCCGCGAGCAAGGCAATAAGACTATCATGGTCAACTACAACCCGGAGACTGTTAGTACCGATTACGATGAGGCTGACCGTCTCTACTTCGAGAACATCAACCTGGAGACTGTTCTGGACATCTACCAGCTGGAGACCTCCAGCGGTGTGATCATGTCTATGGGTGGTCAGACCCCTAACAACATCGCTCTACCCCTTCACCGTCTCAATGTTAACATTTTGGGTACCTCTCCCGAGATGATTGACGGTGCCGAGAACCGTTACAAGTTCTCCCGCATGTTGGATCGTATCGAGGTTGATCAGCCCGCCTGGAAGGAACTGACTAGCATTGACGAGGCCCGCGATTTCTGTGAGAAGGTCGGCTACCCCGTGCTGGTCCGTCCCTCATACGTGCTCTCTGGTGCTGCTATGAACACTGTCTACTCCGAGCACGATCTGGCCAGCTACCTGAACCAGGCTGTCGATGTCTCTCGTGAGCACCCTGTTGTTATCACCAAGTACATTGAAAATGCCAAGGAAATCGAGATGGACGCTGTCGCCCGCAACGGTGTTATGGTTGGCCACTTCATCTCTGAGCACGTTGAAAACGCCGGTGTTCACTCTGGTGACGCTACTCTGATCTTGCCCCCCCAGGATCTGAGCCCGGAGACCGTCCGTCGCATTGAAGAGGCTACCCGGAAGATTGGTAATGCCCTGAACGTTACTGGTCCTTACAACATTCAGTTCATTGCCAAGGATAACGACATCAAGGTCATTGAGTGCAACGTTCGTGCCTCGCGGTCCTTCCCCTTCGTGTCCAAGGTCATGGGTGTCGACCTGATCGAGATGGCCACCAAGGCCATGATCGGAATTCCATTCCAGGAGTACCCCCCCGTATCGGTCCCCAAGGACTACGTCGGTGTCAAGGTTCCCCAGTTCTCGTTCTCGCGTTTGTCCGGTGCTGACCCCGTCCTCGGCGTCGAAATGGCCTCTACTGGTGAGGTCGCCTCGTTCGGCCGTGACAAGTACGAGGCCTACCTGAAGGCTCTCTTGTCCACTGGGTTCCGTCTTCCTCGCCGCAACATCCTGTTCTCGATTGGTTCCTACAAGGAGAAGCTTGAGATGCTGCCCTCTATCAAGAAGCTCCACGACCTCGATTACAACCTCTTCGCCACTGCTGGTACCGCTGATTTCCTCAAGGAGAACGGCGTGCCTGTCAAGTACCTTGAGCATCTTCCGGACCACGAGGAGGAGGACATGAAGTCTGAGTACTCTCTTACTCAGCACTTGTCCAACAACCTCATCGATCTGTACATCAACTTGCCGTCCAACAACCGCTTCCGTCGCCCGGCCAACTACATGTCCAAGGGTTACCGTACTCGTCGTATGGCTGTTGACTATCAGACTCCCCTGGTCACTAACGTCAAGAATGCCAAGATCCTGATCGAGGCTATTGCTCGCCACTTCCCTCTGAACATCATTCCTTCGGACTACCAGACCAGCCACCGCACCGTGGTCCTTCCCGGTCTGGTCAACATTGCTGCATTCGTCCCGAATCTCGTTTCCGCTGGTTCTAGCGATTTCGAAACTGTTTCTAAGGCTTCGATTGGAGCTGGTTTCAGCATGATCCGTGTGATGCCGGTCGGTGTTGACAGCTCGGTCACCGAGTCCCGGGACCTGAAGATTGTTCAGCAGAACGCTCACGGCAAGTCGCTGTGCGACTTCAACATCTCTGTTGCTGCCACCGCCACCAACTCGGATCAGATCATTCAGATGGCTGGTGAGGTTGGATCTCTCTTCGTCCCCTTCAATCACCTGTCGGGCAACATCAACAAGGTGGCCACTGTCACCAACCACTTCAGCTCTTGGCCCTCGAGCAAGCCTCTGATCACTGATGCCAAGAGCACCGATCTTGCCTCGATCCTGTTGTTGGCCAGCCTTCACAGCCGTAACATTCACGTCATGAGTGTTACCTCCAAGGAGGATATCAGCCTTATCGCTCTGAGCAAGGAGAAGGGCCTGAAGGTGACCTGCGATGTTTCGATTTACTCCCTCTTCCTCTCGCGCGAGGAATTCCCGGCTTGCAGCTCCCTGCCCACCGCCGAGGACCAGAAGGCTCTGTGGGAACACCTGAGCACCATCGATGTCTTCTCCATTGGCAGCATTCCCTTCCAGGTTGCTGGCAAGGAGGCCACCCCCGAGTCCGGTATCGCTGAGTCTATTCCTCTGCTGTTCACTGCTGTCTCGGAAGGTCGCCTGACCATTGAGGATATCACCGCTCGTCTCTGCGACAACCCCAAGAAGATCTTCGAGCTGCACGACCAGGTCGACAGCTCGCTCGAGATTGAGATCGACCGCCCCTACGTTTTCCAGAACTCCCAGGCCTGGTCTCCGTTCAACGGCAAGACCATGCGCGGCTCCGTCCAGCGTGTCGTTTTCCAGGGCAAGACCGCCTGTCTCGATGGTGAGATTACCAAGGATGCCGTCAAGGGTGCCGACATGTCCAGTCACCGAATCGTCCCCACCTCGCCCGTGCAGAAGCCCATGACCCCCATGGCCCGCCCGGAGAGTTCCCTCTCTAGACATGTTTCTATGTCTGGCACTCCTGGTCGCCGCTTCCGTGCCCTGGACAACGCTGTTCCTGCCATTGGCGAACTTGGTCCTCCCCTTTACGCCCCCTCCTCGCAGCTCTCCCCGTCGCTGGCCGATATGCTCTCCCGCTCTCCTTTCCGTGGAAAGCACATATTGTCTGTGAACCAGTTCTCCCGCGCGGACTTGCACCTGCTCTTCACTGTCGCCCAGGAGATGCGTCTTGGTGTCCAGCGCCACGGTGTCCTTGACCTCCTGAAGGGTCGTGTTCTGACCACCCTCTTCTACGAGCCCTCCACCCGCACCTCGGCTTCGTTCGACGCCGCCATGCAGCGTCTTGGTGGACGTACCATCGCTGTCGCCACTGAGCACTCTTCTACCCAGAAGGGTGAGTCTCTTCAGGACACCATCCGCACCCTCGGATGCTACAGCGATGCTGTTGTCCTGCGTCATCCCGAAGCGAGCAGCACCGAGGTTGCCGCCAAGTACTCCCAGGTTCCCGTCATCAACGGTGGCAACGGCGCCCTTGAGCACCCCACCCAGGCCTTCTTGGACTTGTTCACCATCCGCGAGGAGCTGGGCACTGTCACCGGCTTGACCATCACCTTCACTGGTGATCTCAAGTACGGCCGCCCCGTGCACTCTCTCATCAAGCTGCTCCAGTTCTACGATGTCCGCATCCAGCTTGTCGCCCCCAAGGCCCTCGCCCTTCCCGAGGATGTCCGCCAGCTGATTGTTGCTTCCGGCCAGCTGGTCCTTGAGTCTGAGGAGCTCACTCCTGAGATTGTCGCCAGCTCTGACATCCTGTACTGCACCCGTGTGCAGAAGGAGCGCTTTGCCGACCTCTCCGAGTACGAGCGTCTCAAGAACACCTTTGTCATTGACAACGCCTTGCTCAGGCACGCCAAGGAACACATGGTTGTCATGCACCCCCTCCCTCGCAACGCCGAGATCTCTGAGGAAGTTGACTTCGACCAGCGGGCTGCTTACTTCCGCCAGGTATGTTTTGAATCTCCCCTGATTTCTTTGAACAATATACTAATTTACATTACAGATGCGCTACGGCCTTTACTGCCGCATGGCTCTCCTTGCCCTTGTCTTGGCGCCATGAATATAAAACTCTTTTGCCATTATAATTATGTGGGAAAGGGGATATCCATGGATTCACGCGCGACATGTTTCTTTCCTGTTTTGAAAAGTTCTGTTTTTTTTTTGATACTCCGTAAGCAGCTTAAATCAGCTGTATAGATTAGATGAATCTCCGTTTCATTTGACGGTCCCGTTCAGTGTGTATGTCTATATTTCTTTTTATGTATATTATGTGTGATGTGTGTGTCATGTGTTATGTGTTATGTGTGTGTTTTGCGTGTTTTGCGTGTTTTGCGTGTTTTGCGTGTTTTCCATTTTGGGTCGTTTTGGGGTCATTTGGGGTCATCTTGGATTATTTTGGGTCACTTTGGGGTTATTTTGGGTTATTTTGGGTCATTTTGGGTCAATTGGGGACATTTCCGGACATTTTGGGCGATTATACTTTACTTGGCATCTTTTGGGGCTTGGGCCTGGACTGGTTTTGGGCATTTTTGGCAGTTTTGGCATTTTCATATATACTCTGAACAATCTAATTCACTAATTCATCTGAGACAACTTCTTTTCAAGTTTGGAATACCCAACGAGGATCTTTATCGCCTTGGAATTCTCCCTCGGCATCACCTACATCTCCCATCAAAGGACTTAATCCATGGATTTCTCTCAGACGCTCCTTCTCGGAATTCTCCCGTCGGAGAACCTTCCACAGGACCCCAACAACCACAATGTTGGCAACCAGATATCCCAAGGCAAACCCATGACCCAGGAAATACCGCGGGCTACTCTCGGTGCGGTATAGCTGGGTTCCAAGGACCGCACCCAAATTGCCAATTGATATCTGCATGGCGTTGGCAATGCAGCGTTTAGTCTGGCCAGATACATTATTAGCGGGCCAAGACAGCACAATGGCCACAGCTGGGTAAATGCCTGCCGCAGCGAAGATGGTTCCAACGTAAGACACTCCAGCACGGTGCTGTGAGAGCAGGAGGATATATCCGATACATCCAATAGCGGATGATCCCATGATAAATGGCGCCCGACTGCGAGTCTTCTCAGAAGCAATCGCAACTCCAATGGTCATGAAGAATGCCACCGCATACGGTGGCACGGAAAGTAGCTGGGCCTTTGCCGCTGAGTATCCGAGCTCTTTGATGATTGTTGGAAGGAAGAGAGATAACGTGTATAGTGGCAAAGACATGGTGTGGAATCCAAGTCCATACAGCCAGACCTTGGGGTCTTTGAATGCATCTACTACTGCCGACCAGGTGAATTCCTCATCCCGGGTGGCATCGCTGTCATTTTTCAGACGCAATTGGATGAACTCCCGTTCTTCCTTTGATAGAAACTCGGCTGTTGATGGGTAGTTGTACACCCAGAAATAGGCGATGATTGAAACGACAATGGTCAACAGTCCTTCCTGAATTGAATTGTGAGCATATGTTGCTGTATATCAAGATCACATAGTGGGAACGCACCAGAATGAAGATCCATCTCCAACCATTCAAGTTTCCCACACCTTTCATGTGAGAAATTGCCTAGAACTTCGTCAGTTGTGGTTATCTATCGGGTAAAAAGGAAAACCAACCCAAGCCAAAATACCACCAAAGGCACCTGCCAGCGAAGCTGCACTGAAAAACAGAGCCACGCGATAATGTTGCTCGTTACGCTTATACCACATTGACAGGTAAAACACCACACCGGGGAACAATCCACTCTCTGCAACACCTAGGAAGAATCGTGAAGATAAATAACCAGAGTAATTCTGCACCACTCCTAGGAGTGTAGCAACTACTCCCCAGACAAGAGTGAGAGTCGGAAGCCATATTCTTGGGGTGGTTTTCTTTAAGATGATCTGAACAGAGCTGGTTAGTATATACTCATTTATATTAACAGGCATTGCTCACATTACAAGGGATCTCAAAAAGAACATAGCCGATAAAGTACAGAGTCAGACCTGTAAGGTACTGGTTTCCTGCTATATTATTTGTTTCCCAATTAGCTATTGAATCGATATAGAAGCACACACAACGTACACATATTGATATCGGTGGTCATCCCTTCTAGACGGGCATTTCCCACATTACTACGATCCAAAAAGGAGAGTAAATAGAGTAATGTGAGGGGTGGCAAAAGGCGATAGTCCAATTTCCGTAATAAGGCCTTTTCGTTGATGCCTATACTTGAACTGGTATCGCTCTCGCTCGGTAGATGCTTTTCTGAAGCCATGACTGAATCAGTCTTGAATTGAGGTTATGATATATGTGAAGAGATGAGGGGGAAATAGAAGAAATATAACATATCTCGCACACCATCTATTATTCCCCATGTTCTCTAGAGATAGCGAATAATATTACAGGATTTCTATAAGGCATATAAGAAGAGAATGAGCAATATTGGGGTTGAAATGACGAGATCAGATACCACGTGAAGATCGGCATAGGTCTTAGTTAACATACTATATGTGCATGTAGCCCTGGAGGTTGATATGAAAACTTATAAATTGGTCTCTCAACTGTATATTCGCTCTCTTACTCTTATCATGCTTTATCCGGCCAGTACTTTTGTATAATGACCTTTTTGTTGACCTTCCCCATGGCATTACGCTCGATCCCATCTACAACCTTTAGAACGGTTGGGATCTTATAAGGAGCCATCTCGTCCTTGAGCTCAGCTCGTAGAGTAGGAAGGTCTAATGTAACCTATATCACTGTTAGTTAAAGAAGACAGGTCCGCAAGCACGCAAAACATACCCCTTCTCGGAACTTGACAACTGCTGCAACTCGCTGGCCCCATTCTTGGTCCGCCAATCCAACTACTGCAACTTCTTGAATCGCATGAATGGCCAGCATCTTGCGTTCAACTTCCAATGCGGAAATCTTATATCCACCGGATTTGATCAGGTCAACAGAAGCACGGCCTTGGATGAAGTATGCACCGCTTGAATCGCGTTTAGCAACGTCGCCGGTCCTGAACCATCCATCCGCTGTGAACTCTGAGGCCGTCGCTTCCGGTTTCCGCCAATACTCACAGAAGACATTACTGCCCTTGACCTCAATCATACCGTCTTCATTCACGCCATCCACGATCCGACCGGTTTCTTTTTCAGTCAGTCGGATCTCCACGCCGGGCAATGGCCATCCTACACTGCCATCGATTCGCTTTTGAATCTCCAGCCCACAACTGAGCGCCATGCCGATCTCGGTCATCCCATATCGTTCTAGTAAAACTTGCCCGGTGATTTCGGCGAATTTTTCTTTGATTGGAGTGGGTAGAGCCGCAGATCCACTGACGACCAGCCGTAAAGCACGAGCGCCCGCCCGTGCGGCATCTTCTTGTTCCGTGCCCCGGATATGAGCATCGAAGTAGTCATTTAGACGCGAATAAATAGTCGGTACAGCCATGAATAAAGTCGAGGAGCCGTGGTCCTGCCACCGCTCCCAGATCACCTTCGGATCAAACTTCGGATGCATCTCCACCGTTGTACCACTCAGCAAACTGGAAGTCAGGCCATTGATGATACCGTGGACATGGTGGAGTGGCAGCACATGAATAAGATGGTCGGAGGGAGAGTACTCCCAGGCCTTGACTAGACAGCTCGCTTGGAAAGTGATATTCTCGTGTGTCGTCACACAGCCCTTGGGGTTTGATGTGGTTCCAGAGGTATAGATCATCAGAGCGCGACGAGTGAGCGCAAAGGGTGGTGAGAAAGAAGGTAAGGTCGGGGTCTCGTTTCGAGAGAACGGTTCTAGTCCCATGAATGGTATATCGGCGGTACATCCTTCACGTAGCGAGGGTGCGATCTTCTCGAAATGTGGATGGACAATAATCAATGAGGGGTCCGAATCTCCGATAGTGTATAACAGTTCCTTCACTGGGTGACTTGTGCCTAGTCATGTTAGCATTAATCGCGAGAGGTTTCACCTGCACATCGCCTTTTTTTTTTTCACCTACAAAGTGGAACGCAGACACCTCCAGCCGCCCACACGGCCCATTGCGTAGCAACGTAGTCATATCCATTGGGGACCAAGAAGGCAATGCGTCGTTCTTCCAAATCGCCTGTCAAACCCAATTGCTCAATTATGCGCTTCCTTAATGATGCTGCATCGGCCAGTAATTGAACGAATGTGAACGATTCTTGTTTGGTGGTGTCAATGACGGCTATCTTCTCGGGATTCTGTGCATGTTGCTCCGCCGCAGTAAAGAGGGGTAGGGATGGGATTGGCATATTTATTTGACTGAAGATATGTAGCCTGATATAACCGGATATAAACTGGTATTGCTATAAACCGGTATTAAGTAAAGGTATAGAAATCTGGAGGGGTTAAAGGCGAAGAATTCCAATGGGGATGATCCCCGGTATTTAGCCGATTGCGGAGAAAATGCCTGACAAGACGTTAATAGCTATACTACTATGTAGAATACTAGTAGAATAATAAAATCTGAATAAGAATCTCTACATAGAATTCAAATTCAACGCTGATTCAACATTTCTAACTACACTAGAATGTTCCCAGCTCGCTAGGTTGGACGGTGCGTGGCCTGTCAAACCCTTCGCCATTCTCGTCTAGTCCACGAGTCACCAAGTCTGTGAAATCCACACCCACTTCCACCAAGAGAGCGGCATGGTCGTGCACAATGTCAAGGCATCTCTGCCAAACCGATGTACCACGCTGCACGCTGCTAAGTTGTCGGTTAAGCAGAGCATTGAATCCGTCGAGGTGATGCTTAGCCCAGCGAATGCAGGAACTGCTCATTACGCTAGGGAAACATTGTTGGTAGATACTGATGGTGTTCTTGATCAGGGTGAAATAAACGTAGGAAATCTGGAAGATGTAAAGTGGTAGATCACCTTCAAAGATACAGGCCCTTGGTGAAAATGTCAGCATGCACCCATGGATATCTAAGCTTGTATAATAAGAGAGTGAAGAACATACCGGATGCGTTGGCCGATCACGTCCGAACGCGCTTTCAGGTATGTCTCGCGTGCCTGATCTTCAAACCCTAACCGAGTCAACCAGGTAACGTGGGTCTTGGTAGCCGCCGGGAACGAGTGTTTGTCAACTAGTGCCCGCGAGAGAATGCCAGCAAGCCGAGTTGCTCGCCCGTCGACCTTGAAATTGATGATGTCTTGTGCAATGGTGTTGCCCTTGAGAGTCTTGGCCAAATTCCGTAGTCGCTCGATACTGAGCACAGATGCTTCGAATCGCTGAAGCGCAATATCGATATCAAGCTCGTCCACCTGTCCTTCAACCCAACGGAGGTTCTGTTGTTTTCCATCCACGTCAATGCGTATATCAGATTTGTCTCTTGGGGTATCGGAGAGATCGAAAGCTTCTGGCTTTTTCGAATGGGAATGTTGCCGACCAGCCAGATATCCATATGCTTCCAAGGGCTTGCTGGCCGCTTCGGTCTCCGAGCGCATAGTTCGACGCAAGTCCTCGACTGTTTTGCGGAAAGTTGCTAGAAGTTCTTGTTTCGCTGAAACGTCATCATGGCGATATGTAAAGGGCTTATTTCCCACACGGATGCTGATCGATCTCCCAATGCCCCGGTCCAAAGCCTCTTCACGCGCTTGCCCCGTTCCCAGATTGGCTCCAAGATCAATCATATCAATATCGTTGAGAAGCCAGCAGTCTTCTGCCACTAGCCTCGTTGGAACAGGTCCTCGGTGGTTGGGGTGACTTTGGTCAACCCGCTTACGCTTCTTCGCAGCCACGAGCAGGTAATCGTTCAACAGCACAATGTGAACGGGTCTTCTTGGTTTCCAGGTTGCCGAATCTAGCTCAACCCAATTACCAGTTTCTAGGACGATGTGCCGTCCTGGCGCAGCTGGAAGCCACTTCTGTGACCCTTCCACTGTCTTCCACAACGTTTGTAGTTGTACGCTCCACATGCTCTCGAGGTTGGCAACCGAGCTGCGATTCGCATTGCGTTTAGGAAAAGAGTCTTCCATCGGTGACATGGGATTAGGTGAATTCCCGACGCTTGTTTGTCCGAGCGCCGTTGTCAGTTCCGCCATGAGGGTACGGAGGGTCCGCATTTCATCCTTGAGCTTCTCAGCCTCTTTACTGATCTTGATAAATTGGGTGCGATTCTGATAAACATTTTGCTGCAGGTCGGTGGATGTCCGGTTCTTGACTTTGCGTAGACTTTCTTGGTACTTTCGGATATCTTCCTCGGAGGCGTTGGCTAGCAAACTGGCCACATCTAGGATCGGGAACTCCTGGTTAGCTTTAACAAATAGACGGGACATGGAGGTCTAACATCGATCAACTGGAAGACTAGGATCTCGTAGAGCATTGAGATCGACTTTTGGTGCTGGTGAGTTCGGGTCCGCTGGTGAGGGTTGTCTCGGAAGAGCTGCCGGTGCTAATCGTCCCCCAGGCACCTGCGTTGGTAGTGACGGAACAGGAGGAGCATTGGCATCAAAATCAGGTGCACTATTGAATCGAGTCGAGTATCGTCGTTTCACTAAATCCGAGGTCGCATCGTTCTGGGGTGCCCGCTCACGTGTGGGGATTGCGGATGGGCCTGACTCGGGAGACCTGGTATTGGGAGGTAGGGGACCGGAGATGGGTTTGGGGGCACTAATCTGAGGGCGCTGACGACGAGACTTGCTCCTCAGAGTTAATCCTCGGCCTTCCATGGTGATTTCACTGTAGCAATAATCAAGGAATGGACACGGGAGGTTCAAGGGGATGACGGCCTGCTATGATTATATAATCCATTGGCTCCGGGCATCTCTGGACATCCTTTTGAAACATTTTTATCAACCACAACCACCACTCAAGCACTATCACCTCTCCAAATTCCCATACACTGTTAGGTTGGGACAAATTTGATAACTTTAATTCCATCTTATCCCACATCTTCACTATGGCTTTCCGAAACACTGCCATCGTCGCCGGCACGATTCTGACGGGAGTTCTCGGTATGTAGCATCCGTCTTGTCGCGTTCTTCAACCTTTTTGACCATTTGTACCAGCCTATGCCGTTTATTTCGATCACAAGCGTCAAAGCGACCCTAGCTTCCGCAAGTCGTTGAAGAAGAACAACAAGAAGGTCGAACAAACCGCGAAGCAGGAGGCAGAGGCCGGTGCCGCAGCCAGACTCGCAGATCTCAAGAATGCGCTCGAACAAGTGAAGAAGAACGGTGAACTTCCAACAGATCTTGAAGAGAAAGAAAGCTTCTTTATGACTCAAGTCGCATTGGGTGAATCTCTTTGTGCCTCTGAAGGTAAATTGAATCCACCGTCTCATCCTACCTCGAAGGGATTGAGCTATAGTTATAGCTCTCAATTGAAAAAAAAAAGAATCCAAAATAAACATATGGCTAACTGTATCTATCTCCAGGCTCCCAAGTCGAGGCAGCCATCGCCTTTTGGAAAGCATTGAAGGTCTACCCCCAGCCTCAGGTACGTACAAACCACTCCCGTTGTGATTGCCTTTTCATCATCTGCAATATTCTAACTGTTATAATTACACAGGATCTGATTGGAATTTACGACAAGACCGTTCCCAAGGAAACCCTCGAAATTCTCGCCGAGCTTATCGCACTTGATGGTCAATCTGCCGGCCGCAAGACTGGCACTGACGATAACATCGAATAGAACACTGGACCCCTCTCAACAACTTGTATTTTAGAAAGATGGAATTCTCAAATTTGTATCACATAATTTATATCCCGGGGAACTAGGTGGAAAACAAAAGGGGTGCGAATGAAGACCATCTAATTTGGAATGGCGATTGCCAAATGTGTTGTACTCCAAATAGATGGAGCAGAAGAGATACCAATCTAAAGCAACCTCTACTCTTTTGGTTTTCTCTGAGATACATAACCTTTCAATCTTCTTGGGGGAAGACGTCCCTAGACTGGTCTATTGTTAGAAGGAACTACTATGTATCTCTTACACTCGGAACTTGGAACCCTAGCTCTAAATCCCCACATATGTACTTTGTACTCCGTAGAGCTACCAGCGTTGTGGTACAATTCATTGCCGAGGTATGCCTTGAGTCCAAGACATTCTTAAGTTAACCTGAGGTCTTAAGGTGGAGTTCATTCTAATTATAAATGGCAATTGGTGGATATATATATATATATATATATATAACGATGTATGTGCGCCGGTAGATAAGAGGCAGTGAACTGCCCAGGTGAATAAGACATTCCCAATCGGGAAGGTGGTGGACACCTGAAAATCAAGGCCAATATCTCCGAAGCCCTAAGCCGCCCCTCCGACTACACCAGCTAGTAATATCATTAATTTTCAAATAGCAGAGAGTTGGGGATCGATGTTGTTCACTCCGTATACGAAATTCCCCCCCTGAATGTAGTAACATTTCAACACAGCCCAGATAGCCCAGAAGTGGCGTCCAAATCATTATTGAACATCTTGGCCTTGGGGAATCTTGGCCGGACTTGGCCCGGGAGATTTGGGAGGGATAAAAGAGGAAAGAGAGGAAAGAAGAGCAGAGAAGGTTGATGATTCTGATACATATAGAATTAATTTTCTATACTCTATACTATATCAATATGATACTATATTTGATTTGATTGTACAACATATACGGATCCTCCTCCGTACCAATATACTAAATAGTGAAACCTCGGATTATATGAAACCTCCAAGACCCCCAAGACCCTCTAAGTCCCTAAGACCCTCTAAATGCCCCCTTATTATTTGTTCAAAGACTTTTGATTCTCCACTTAAGATAATTACTATTTTCTTAGATTTTATTTAACTCATTTTAAAGTCCTTTAAAGTCCTTGTCCTATTCCTTTGATTTCTTTTTTTTTTTTTTGGTCTCAAGTCGTTCCTTCCCCAGTTCGCGCCGTTGCGCTTGTCACTCGTTAGATTTATTCCCCCGGACCCTCTACTTTTCTCTTCTTCTCTATATTTCATTTTACATACCCTTTCACAATGATTGTATGTGCTGTCGCAATATCAATTATATACCAAGCTAATTTCTTAGTACACTCGTCTCTTCGCATCCTTGTGTGCACTCGCCAGCACCGCGGCTGCTTTGACCCCACTTGAAGTCAACGGTAAAGACTTTGTTGACTCGAAGACCAAAGATCGTTTCCAGATTATCGGTGTTGAGTAAGGCTTCCTTGCATGGGCTGTCGCATTTTACCCCACATTCTTCAGTGGCTGACGGGTGGCTGATTCAAATAGCTACCAGCCTGGTGGCTCATCCGGCTTCACTAAGAAGCTAGACCCATTGAGCGATGCAGATGCCTGCCTGCGCGATGCTGCCCTCATGCAGCGCCTGGGTGTATGTTCACAGACCCTATATTCCTTATACAGCAACTTATTTCCATAGATTAACACCATCCGTATCTACAACCTGGAACCCTCTCTCAATCACGATGAGTGTGCTTCGATCTTCAACGCCGCCGGTATCTACATGATTCTTGATGTTAGCAACCCTTTGGCGGGTGGTTATCTGGACCGCAGCCAGCCATGGACCACCTATAGCGCCATCTACTACAAGCAGGTGTTCGGTGTTATCGAGGGCTTCAAGAACTACGACAACGTCCTAGGCTTCTTCGCTGGAAACGAGGTCATCAACGAGGACGCCCATTACGTGGTTCCTAGATACATGCGTGCTGTCGTTCGTGATATGAAGGATTACATCGCCAAGAACGCTAAGCGTGCTATTCCTGTGGGATACTCCGCTGCCGATATCCGTGACATTTTGATGGACACTATTCACTACTTTGAGTGTGACCTCAAGAATTCGACTTCTTCTCGCGCTGACTTCTTCGGCCTCAACTCCTACTCTTGGTGCGGTGACGCTAGCTACAAGACCAGCGGCTTCGAGGACCTAACCGGAGACTTCGCCGATGCCACTATCCCCGTTTTCTTCTCCGAGTACGGCTGTAACGAAGTCAAGCCCCGTATTTTCACCGAAGTGCAGGCCATTTACGGCGAGGAGATGACCCAGGCTTTCTCTGGTGGTCTGGTTTACGAATGGACCCAGGAGGATAATGAGTACGGCCTGATCAAGATCAAGGACTCTAAAACCGTGACCACTCTGGTCGACTATGATAACTTCCAGAAGCAGCTCAACAAGCTCGATATGGACCGCATCATGTCAAGCAACGCTACCCAGGCCAATGTCAAGGCTGAGGAGTGCAGTGTTTCACTCATTACCCGCGCCAAAGGCAGCCAGCCATTCTACAACGCCTGGGATCTGCCCGAGGTTCCTCCCAAGGTCGCGGACTACATTAAGAACGGCCTGCCCGATGCTCCCGTTGGCAAGTTCGTTTCTGTTTCTTCCACCACCATCCCCCAGAAGGTGTTTGACCACACCGGCAAGGAGATCACCAATATCAAGTTTGAGGTGAAGAGCGGTGTCAACACCCCCTCTTCTTCCAATTCCGGATCGAGTACCTCCAGTTCTTCCTCCTCTGGCTCTTCCTCCAGCTCCGGTTCCTCCAGCTCCGGTACTTCGACCCCTACCAACGCTGCCTCTCTCAATGGCGCTCCCTCACTTGCCCTTGGTGGTGCAGGAGGTTTCTTCATGCTGCTTGCATCCCTTCTGTAATTGCTTTGCTTTTGATTGGTTCATTCTCGAGTTTCAGGGTTCAGACTAGGACGACCGAGAGGCTAATATCAGGTCTCGATGGTTTATTCTCTGTATCGGTTACTCCATCTTGATTCTTCTTCGCCGGGTTTTCTTGTGATTCATTTATTAATCTGCACATGATTCCCTTAGAACAATTTACATACTTGGTTCTTCTTTTCGTATTTCCATGCTTTAACACACCGGCGTATGTGCGTTGGGAAGGAGTTAGTAGGCACAATGCATTGCGGCAATCTTTGACTCTCAGCTACTCTATATGTGTGTGGCATTCTTATTTCTTCCTCTCTTGTTAAGACTACAGTTTGGAAGAACGATCGTCATAGACTGTGGCGCCAATGGCCTTCCCTTGATCGACTCCTTCAGCCCTAGTTCTCAAGACCCGCTTCTGAATCTTGCCAGAGGCACTCTTAGGAATCTCATTGATCGGGATGATTTTACCGCGAAGCCTCTTATGAGGTGCCAGTTTCCCACTTACATAGGCCACCAGCTCTTCTGCGACCTGCTCCGTTGATTTTCTCGTCTCCCCAATAACCACATAAGCAACCGGTATCTCGGACGCAATCTTTTGGTCAGCAAGTCCAATCACAGCGACATCATGGACAAGCGGATGTCCATGAAGCACGCTCTCTATCTCCGCCGGGGAAATCTGGAAGCCCTTGTATTTAATGAGGTCCTTTGACCGATCCATTATGAACAGGTTTCCATCCTCATCTTGCAATCCGATATCACCGGTTTTGAACCACCCATCCGGTGTGATAGACCGCGCAGTGGCTTCGTCGTTGTTGTGATAGCCTCGGAAGATGGTCGGTCCTCGCATACACAGTTCGCCTTCGCCTTTACTCACTGGGTTTCCTTGTTCGTCAATGAACTTCACCTCAATTTGGGGAAATGGAGGACCCGTCGACCCTATTGCTTGATCCCATCGGTCCCATCTCTGTTGGAATAAGTTAAGCCGCGAAACGATTAGATGGAACTGATAGAGCATACCTGAACGTGGGAGACACCCGTCGACTCGGTCAATCCAAATCCCTGGCGGACCGGAACCTTCAGACGATCGTACACAGTACGAATCAGATCCGGTGCCAGTGATGCAGCGGCTGATGTTACCATTCTCAACGATGATAGTTGTTCGCGCGTCATTGCGGGGTCTCTGGCAAGGTATAGAACAATGGGCGGGACAGCGTAAACGTGGGTGATTGATTCATTTTGGACGCTGTGTAAAAATGTTTTGACGGAGAACTTCTCCAGTATTGTTGTCTCTATTCCCATAAAAAGAGGGAAATGTACTAGACATAAAAGTCCTTCGAATGGACTGGTTAGCCTGCAAATGAGGGTATCTCCAAAGTTGGCATACCGAAGATGTGATATGTTGGCAAGATTGTGAGGAACCGATCCTTTCTCCAGTTTATGTGTTCACCATCTACTTGTCCCTGCAGGACTATGTTCGCCACAATATTGGTATGGGTAATTCTTGCCCCCTTGGGCCGTCCAGTGGTCCCGGAAGAGTATATCAAGAATGCCATATCGACGGCTGGGTCTATCGTCGGGCGTGTTGCTCCAGTCGCTCCACCTGCTAACATAGATTCGACATTTTGCAGCTCTGCTTCTGGAGAATCGGGGCCAACAACCAACATGTGAGCAACAGGAAAGTCCACACGCTTTGCAGCTGCGATTGCAGTGTCTAAGAGCAAGGTGTGTACAATCAGTGCCTTTGCACCACTGTCAATGAGTTGGTATTTCAATTCATCAGCAGTGTATGTCGGGTTGGTCGGGGAGACTATCCCTCCGGCCCAATGGCAACCCCAAAATAAGGCGGGGACATCGATGGAATTTGGCGTAAAGAGTAAGAGAACATCGCCTTTTTGCCATCCCCACTGACTTTGGAGATTGGCGCCAAAACTCAGGGCTTGAGATCGAATATCGCAGTAGGTCCGGATTTCGCCCGAAGGTGATTTGAAGATGGCTATACCTGTCAGAATCTGGCTTTGGCACTGGAGAGATATACGTACTGTGGTCATCTGGGAAGGGTGTTTTCCTTTCGAAGAGACAATCCCAAATATCGACAGGGGTTATGTGGTGCATGGTTGTAGGATGCGGTTCAAGTTCAGCTATGTAGATAGTTCCCCCAGGCCAACCTTGAAATGACGCAAGATCTTCCTCATGGATGGCAAAAAGCTGTTCAAATGCCTTCTAGGGCAAGCGTATGAGAGTTTGAATCCCTGATGTTAGGCATTTAATATCAGAATGGCTAGTGTGCCTAGTGTGTCGTCTATTTTTCTTTTTTCCTTTGCTTGATACTGTTGCTCACTACAATGGCACTGAAGAATGTTTCTCGATTCGAACGCAATCGACTGTATTAAGCCCAGATTCTCTGGAAACAAACTGAAACAAAATGTAAAACCTATTGACTCTAAACAACCCTCGCTTTACCCTTTCCCTTGCCTGACGGTGAGGCAGGTATTAGCCCCGCGAGAGATGGGAATTCCTCCCACTCACCATCCTCCCGACTCTTGCCCTCAGCTAAGCTGAGTTGAATTGCAAACTCTAGATCATCCATCTCTTGTCGTCTACTGCTCTCAGCCTCTTCGGCTGCAGGCGGGCATACTCCCTTGGCATACTTGATAGGGATAGAAGACACTTGGTCAAATGGTAGAGCAGCACTTTGCTCATCAAGCAGGCTAAGGCGAATTGCCTCGGCAAGTTCGTCATCATTATCGTCTGAGGGATTTTGATAGGGGGACGAAGAGGATGAAACCTCGCCAAGGCCAAACGAACTAGGACCAACAGTGTCGAATGAAGCGCTTGTAGCCGAGCTAGAGATTGTGGGGCTGTCCTTAGGTTTCGCCGCACCGCCAGAGCAGGCCTCCTCGCTCAGGAGTTGGGCATACGCCAAAAGCTGTTCCTCGTCGATATCTGGACCAAGAAGATCAATTCCGAAACGCGCGCTCAAATGTGCTCGTTCTTTCTCATCGGCAATTTTTTGACGCTCCATATCCACGCGCTCGTCTTCAATAAAGTCCTCAATTGCACCCCGGCCACTATTATTGAAGCGTTGGCCTTCGGCAGCCCCGTTGCTGCGACGTAACAAATGGCGAAGGCGGCGCTTGCTGGACTTGTACTGATCGGCCTCGGATGAACTGTAAGACCAGTATCGCAAGTGGGTGCCAAGTGATACCATTCCACGCAGGACGGTTGGGTCTGGATCAAGGCAGATAGCCCCTGTAGCATAGTAATTGTTTCCAACACCTAGAATAGAGGCTTCGGCCTGCACAAGCCGACGACGTGCCCGGGTCGAAAAACGGGAGTTGATGGTCCGGATTGGCTTGGTAGATGATGCTAGCGGATCCCAGGCTTGCACGAGGCCATCATTACCGCCATGTACAAGGTACAATGATGAGATGGCCAAGGAAGACACCTGGGGCGAGTCTGTTTGAATGATGCGCAATGGGGAGATGGGATTGATAACCTCCGTAGATTTCGCAGCCGGGGTTCGGATATCCCAGACAAACACCATCCCTGTACGGGTTCCAACAGCTAGGTATCGAGCGCGTTGCCCGGGAACTTCCAGGCTAGACCGTGGCTGATCCATATGTGGTAACATTGGGGATGATGTCGCAGACGAGGTAGAGCTCCCACTCATAGCCAAAAGAGGATCCTCTTCGGCTGTAAGGGTCGCGAAAGTGGACGCATCCAATACACTAGCGCTCACTTCCGTAGACTTGCGGTCACCAAAAACAAAATCCGAGAGACGCCACCCGAAGTTGGTCGAAGGTGAGTCCATCCGTCCGGAAGATCGAGATGGGGAAACAATGCTAGTAACGGCCGGAATGTTAACCGGGCCACCGAAAATTGATGGCCGAACTTCCGTTGTACCCAATATGGGCTCTGGCGTAGCTGGCGGGGCTGAGCTGAAATCAGACCCAGAAGCAGTGCGCATGAAGCGCCGGATCGATGCCTTTGCGTCTTCGTCTGAGCCGCGAGCAATGACAATGACCGACTCACCTGCCCCGCATCCGTCATCGCCAGCAAAGTCCACCTTAAGATCGCGCTGCATGTCCCAGCTTTCACAGACTTTGCGGAAATGCTTAGGCTTAAAAGAGATAAAATTTTCAATCTCCTTCGTTTCAGCAGCAATCTGGTGCTCATCTAGTCCCATGGAATCCGATGAAGATCGTGGACTGTAGCTGCCATCGACCAATTCACGATTAAAGGGGTCTGGGCGTGCTACGCGCCTGCTCGCTTCGATCATCTCCCAATGCACACTTCTGCCAGTCTTCCAAGCCACCTCGTCCAGCTGCTCGGTGTTTAGTTTGGCTGTGGGTAGGAGCTCAGGTGCCCGAGGCAGTTCAGTGAGGTAGAATATCTCTCCTAGCGCATTAAGGGCAACGGCCCAGATTCGTTTTCCTGAATGGCGCTTGGGTGAATATTGATCGTCCACGGCGATTCCAATAATAGGAACACCAGGGCACAGGACCCATCTAGCAGTGGCTTGGCCTTGCTCATAACGCCTCTCGTAAGTCGGATGAGGACCCAATGAATACGCAGTCAACACGCCCGAAGACGATCCAGACAGCATCCCCACCAACCCCTGGGTCATTTTGAGGATCTGAGGAGATTTGGCAATCCACACTGAACAGACAGCATGTGTGATCATGTTCACGGCCGGGATGCCGAGTGGTGGATGAGAACCCAAATCCGAAGCTCCTAAGAACCGACCACGCTGCTCCGTCGTTGAGATAAAGTAGCTGCGACCCTGGGGGCACCCTTCGCCATAGATCATGCCATATGGTTGACTGACGTCCATCAAGTTAGGCACACCGACCATGTCACCCGATCCGAGGCCGTATTGAGCTTCACCAGGAAACAGATCGGCAAAGTGGCGGAACATTTGGTGATCGGAGACACCCCAGGTGCCGACTTTTACGGTCGATGGGTCACTTGCAGAGGCTATCCCTTGCTCTGCGGCTCCATGGATGAAGTGAGGGTTCTTGTCGGGCCTGAAAGAGGCATGTATGTGACTGACTGGGAAGAGGAGCTGTGATGTATACGTAGCTATAGCACTACCATGCCGAGCACTCGCCGCACGTACAGTTCCATGCTTCTTGGGCGGGTCGAAATGCGCCGGTTTCCCCCGAGATAACGACTGCATCAAGCGGGTGCGCAAGATGTATTCGCTGCGCCAGGAGGCTAGTGCAGTCAGCCTCGCGAAGAATCGTCTGTCCGACTGTAGGTCTGCCGCATCGGTATTGGTACGCCGATCATTCTCAATGGCATGGGGCCCGGGGAAGAATCGCGAGAAGGCGATCCTCCAAGCATGAGGAGTAGTCACTAGCGCATGGAATCGATGGGATACCAAGGTAATGGCGGACAAGGATTGTGGAGGTAGATGCGATAGAATATGGGTGAGAACCTCTGGAGATTACGGTCAGGATACTGGCGCCGCCGGAGTTGCGGGACACCTACCATTCGGAAATGTCTCAAGAGACGTTTGCGACTTTCGAATAGAAGCCACTAAGCATAATCCAGTATTTGCTGTTTGTCTTGGGGCAGTGCGAGCATTCTCGTGTTGGCTCACTCGATGGACCTTAAGCGGGGCAGAGCGACCGTCGACCTCGTTCAGGGACGCGTCGGATTCGTGTGTCGACATGCTCGGGACGTCTGCAGAGTCTCTGATCTCCTCTTCCTCGAGGAGATCAGAGACTTGAGCGTCGTCGAGGTCATGTCCATGCTGGGTGGGACTGATTGTGACTGGATATGAGTCAACGGGGGGCGTACTTTGAGACACGGCAGTAGGCTCTGGTTGCATAAAAAGGTCTTGACGGAAAGATGAGGTGATAGCGACTGATCCAGCGAGAAAGCCTGGGTCAGTCGAGTCAATAAATGTGGGAGTAAAAGGATTGATATGAAAGCGAAGTGATGTTGAAGAGGGAAAGAAATGGGAGAGCGCAAAGATACCCGAAGAGGCGAAGTGGCCATCCCGCACATTAGAGGCTTCGATATTACGGGCTATATACGAGACTCGGCTTATGGCGCTATTCTTTTATAGTTAATATAAAAAATATGATGTCTTTTAGTGTGTCTTCATATGTGCGTTTTTATCTTTTTTTTTCAGTTGTATAGCTAAGATGAAACGCAGTAAAATGGCATACAACGAGGGATATATTACATATGTAGTAAAAGAGGGACTATTTGATTCTCATTATAGATCAGTCTTATTAACTATTCTCCATAGCTTTCCTTTGCCTCCTTTTCTTTCTACTATGTATTTCTTTCAGAACAAAATTTATACTGAATGGATTGAACGCGTTTAGCACGTGACAGCGCGACAGAAGCCAATCAGCCAGTATCACCAACTTTCTTTTACTTTAAAATCTTGTGATTTTCCTAGAATAGCTCATTGCACGGCATTTTTCTAGTCCTTTATCACAGTGTCTCATCAAACCCCGACTCAGATGAGACACGTGAGTTCGGTCGACCAAGATGCCTGGAGCAAGTGGTAAGACACTCGATATCAAATCGCTAATGCAGCCCACTGATATTTCTATAGAGGCGGAAACTATTCGTATTCTTATCTCCACCGATAATCATGTGGGCTACAACGAGCGAGATCCCATCCGTGGGGACGACAGCTGGAAGACCTTCCACGAAATAATGTGCCTAGCCAAGGAACGGGATGTCGATATGGTTCTTCTGGCTGGAGATTTGTTCCACGAGAATAAGCCGTCACGGAAATCCATGTACCAGGTTATGCGGTCGATTCGCATGAACTGTTTCGGGGACAAGCCGTGTGAGCTGGAGATGCTCAGCGATGCAAGTGAGAACTTCCAGGGGGCGTTCAATCACGTTAATTATGAGGACCTGGATATGAACGTGGCGATCCCTATCTTCTCCATCCATGGAAATCACGACGATCCCTCGGGAGAGGGTCATCTGGCCGCGTTAGATCTATTGCAAGTATCAGGCCTTCTCAACTACTATGGCCGAACTCCGGAGTCAGACAACATTCAAATCAAGCCTGTCTTGCTACAGAAAGGTCGGACAAAACTTGCGCTGTATGGAATGAGCAATGTGCGAGACGAGCGACTCTTCCGCACCTTTCGTGATGGCAAGGTTAAATTCTTCCAACCATCTGTCCAGAAAAGTGACTGGTTCAATTTGATGTCTGTACATCAGAACCACCATGCCCATACAGAAACCAGTTACTTACCGGAAAACTTTCTTCCCGAATTTCTCGATTTGGTTGTCTGGGGCCACGAACATGAATGCCTGATCAATCCTAAGCTCAACCCAGAGACCAAATTTCATGTTATGCAACCAGGATCATCTGTCGCAACGTCCTTGGTACCTGGGGAGGCTGTTCCAAAGCAGGTCTCAATCTTAAGTGTAACAGGCCAAGAATTCAAAAATGAGCCTATCCGATTGAAGACGGTGCGACCATTTGTGATGCGGGAGATTGTATTATCCGAAGAAAAGGGAGCCCAGAAGCTTGCACGCAAAGAGAATAACCGTACAGAAGTAACTCGGTTCCTCATGTCCATTGTCGAAGAACTTATTGAAGAAGCCAATGCAGAATGGCTAGAGATGCAAGGCGACCGCATTGATGAGGATGACGATGACGCAGCGGAAGCTCCGCTTCCTCTCGTCCGTCTCCGTGTGGAAACTTCCACGCCTGAAGGAGGTAGCTACGATTGTGAAAACCCGCAGCGATTCTCCAACCGCTTCATTGGTAAGGTCGCTAACGTGAACGATGTGGTACAATTCTACCGGAAGAAAAAAACCGCTTCTACTTCGCGCAAGGATGATAAATCCGTTGATGAAGCTACCGTTTCTCATTTATCAGCCCTTGACACTGTGAAAGTTGAGCAGCTAGTGCGCGAGTTCCTCTCATCGCAGTCATTAAGCATTCTGCCACAGAATTCATTCGGAGACGCTGTTGCCCAATTCATTGACAAGGATGACAAGCATGCAATGGAGATGTTCGTTAATGAATCCCTTGAGAGCCAGGTCAAACACTTGTTGGCCCTAGATCGGGACGATGACGAGATGGATGACGAGGAGAGAGAACAAAGCTCGCTAGTCACTGCCATGGAGAAATATCGCAGTCAGATGGAGAATATGTTTTCAAAGGGCATAAAGAAGCGAACTCGCGGAAAGAAGCGCTTCAAGCCCAAGCCAGATGGTTGGGATTCCGAGTTTGATGGCGTGTGGGAAGACCAGCCTGGTGCACTCATTCATTCCGATAATGAAGGTGGGGATCCAGTGGAGGAAGAAGCTGCAGAAGATGGGACAGAGCCCACTCGTGGTCGTGCCGCAGCGCCTACTCGAGGTCGTGGCAGGGGTCGTGGCCGCGGTGCAGCAGCTAGTGTGCGGACCACCAAGGCCAAAGCTACCCCAGAAACGAAGACGAAGAGTCGCAAAAAACAAGCGGTTTCAGATGATGAATCAGACGTGATTATGTTGGATGATGATGACGACGATGTTATAGCCAATGTCATTTCCGACGATGAGGACGATGACTCGCAGGCACTGTTCGTCAAGCAACCTCGCTCCACTACCGCGAAACCACGAAAAGTTGCCACAACGACGACCCAGCGCCGCGGTGCACGTGCTACTGCCTCCCCAGCTCCATCATCGGTTACTACGGGTGCAACTGCTTCTCGGCGAGCCCCTGCACGTGGTAAGCCAGCTCAGTCTACGCTCAACTTCTCGGCTTCACAGGCCAGCGCGCCTCAGTCATCACGACCGAGCCGCTCCACCCGTAACATGAGTGTTATCAGCGATGGTATTGATGATGATGACGATGATGATGATGCCTTTGAAGAAATGCCGACCACCTCGAGGCGTCGTAGGTAATGCTCATGGATATTTATGTCTTTATGCATGAATGGACTTATCGAAAATTCACCCAGGCGTTAACACCAGCGTTGTTACCTTCAATTTTTCATTGGATTTCTCAAAATATGATCCCCAAATATCAAATATACTAATAAAACAACAATAAAACAACAATAAACAACCTTGGAATGCTTGTGAAGTTCTTCGAGATGAAGTATACAAAACACGCTAGTCTCAACCTGGTGATTAGTTTATATCGCACACCTGGGGAGTTTCCCTTCCCAAACCCAGACGCTTCACTAAGTCAGTGCCCGAACAAGATCAATTTTCAGTGGCAAATGTGATTGTACTTCGTCACAGAGACCAGAGACGAGATCTCTTTTCTAACCCCGCATTCACAGCCGAGGGACACAACCACCTCGGCCGTGCAACGGAAACGTGAGGGGAATATGAGGGAAAACCTAGGCTGAATCCTCTACTCCGTATCTGATATTCTATTGCCTCCTTGTACAAGGATACGAGACCATACTGGTTAAAGCACAATGACATACAAGTGTCGACCCATTCGCATTGCAGGTTAGTTTTACTTGCATTCCATGATGTACTCCAACTAACTTCTTAGGTGCCTCGGGCTCTGCCTCAGACCGGCGTCATGCTATAGCTGATTTTGCGCGTCACCACCCGACCGATCCTATTGATGTCATTATTGCTGATTTCATGAGCGAGTTCAACATGGCCACCGCCGCGGGTCGGCGTGTGGACCAGGAAATCTCCCAGGAAGTAAAAGCCCCGGCCTACGATCTCTCCTTCCTAGAAGCACTTCAGCCGGCACTGGATGATTTGGCCAAGTATAGAATTAAGCTTGCAGTCAATGCTGGAGTGACTGACACAAAGGGTCTATACGAGGTGGTGACGCGCATGGTTGAGGCAAAGAACTTGGACTTGAAGGTCAGTCCGCGCCTTGCCAAAATGATCAACAATTGCTGATTTGGATGCCCAGATTGCATGGGTTTCCGGAGATGAAGTCCTATCTACCGTGCAGAAGGGATTGACTTCCGGGTCTGAATTTCGCAATGTCTACACAGGTGAGCGATTGGCAGATTGGTCATTCGAGCCCATCTATGCCCAGTGCTATCTGGGTGGCCTCGGTATCGCGGCCGCACTTGCAGATGGTGCCGACATTGTATTGTGTGGGCGGGTCTCAGATGCTTCACCTGTCATTGGAGCTGCTTACTGGTACCATGGATGGCAGCGAGATGAGCTGGACAAGCTAGCGAATGCATTTGTGGCGGGCCATCTGATCGAGTGCAGCAATTATATCTGCGGTGGCAACTTCACAGGCTTCAAAGCCCTAGAGCATGCAGACGGAGATGGCTGGACCAATATCGGATATCCCATCGCCGAAATATCTGCCGAGGGGGACGTTGTGATCACCAAGCAGGCGCATGCCACCGGTGGAGCAGTAACTGTCGATACTTGCACATCCCAGCTGCTTTATGAAATACAAGGACCTTGGTACTACAACTCTGATGTCACGGCGGTCCTCGATGGCATATACTTCTCGCAGCGCGGTGTCAATCGTGTCGCTGTCCATGGGGTTCGATCCAGTCCTCCTCCGCCCACCACCAAGGTCGGTATCACTGCGCGAGGTGGGTTTCAGGCAGAGGCATGGTGGTTTTTGACTGGTCTGGACATTGAAGCCAAGGCTCGCATGTTGGAGGTACAGATCCGCCAATTGTTGTCACCGTATTCGGATAAATTTACATCGCTCAATTTTGATTTACTGGGCTCTTCTCTCTCCGACCCGCACGACCAGAATCGCGCTACCGTTCCGCTGCGCATCGTTGTACAGGCACAGCATGCAGAGGACCTTGCCCCAGCACGGTTCCTCAAACCTATCACTGATAACATCATGCAGGGGTACCCTGGCGCTACTTTTCACTTGGATATGCGCCAGGGATTCCCGCGTGCCATTTTTGAGTACTATGTCAGCTTGCTACCACAATCCGCAATCCAGCATCGCGTCCACATGCCCTGGAAGCCGACAGTATCGACGCAGACTCTCGACATCTCACCCCCAGTAAACACCAGGACATATCCATCACGCCAGCCCTCGCAGCCGATCACCAACGCTGTCGGTCCTGTTGACCTTGCCCGCGACTTTGGGCCGACCACTCGTGGCCCGCTAGGCTGGATCGTTCATGCACGCTCTGGGGACAAGGGTGCTGACGCCAACTGCGGTTTCTGGGTTCGTCACCGTGACGAGTATCAATGGCTCCGGGCATTGCTGTCCGCTGACAAGGCGCAAGAGCTGTTGGGGAAGACTGCCTGCCAAAACACACAATTGGCAATTGAGCGCTTCGAGTTACCCAGCCTTCATGCTGTGCATTTCCTCTTTCGCAATCTTCTAGATCGGGGTGTCGGTGTGACCACCACTGTCGATTTCTTAGGAAAGAACGTGGCAGAATATCTCCGGGCACGGCATGTTGATCTCCCTGTGCGATTCTTGAACCGCGGAAAACTATAGCACGCTTTTTCTCAGATAATCATAATATTACAGATGTCGCCTGGGAAGTTGACATAAATTAGTAACCGCTTATTCTCGGGCGATTAAATAAGCAAAAAAAAAAAAAAAAAGATCCATTGGAAGACAAGCCCTGAAGCTCGAAGTTGTTACCTGTACCTTACCCCCCACTGACAAGCGTCATCGGGGAGATAATAGCCCGCGTCTACGCTGATCATATTCTAGGCCCACTGCCCCTCTTTTCACCCTTTGGGCCGAAGTAAGGGATTTGTATAGGGAAAACATGCCAGGATGTACGAAATAAATAAAATCAGTTCATATGTTTTTGTATACAATATACGGGAAGTTGTGCCGGCAGTAAGATGTTTAATATCAGAATCTTACCTCGGCCTTCCCCCGAGAGGGGCACGCCAAGACTAGAGCTTGTATTGAGTACTCCGCAGGCATTGTTGAGGATTGTAATATACAGTTCAATACAAGATAAAACGTCATGTGTATGACATGTCCCTTGTGGATCTAGTAATTTAAATTTGGAATCCATAAAATTACGAATATTTGAAGCTCCTAGACTTCAAATTAGTCAATATAATTGTATAATACCGTATTTTCATGCAGAAGTGGCGTTGACCCCGCATCAAGAAAGTCAACGAAAACCAAAGACACTCGGTATCCAATATGTTGTATAATACAACATATAAAACCTTGGAACTTTTCCCCTCTTTCTTCTTTCTACCAAAATATCAGTCATGTCTCTCTCAACTACTATCAAGACTCCCAATGTCACTTATGAACAGCCTCTCGGCTTGTAAGTTATTACACCCTCCTTCTCTATTATCTCATTACTAAACTTATCCAGGTTCATCAACAACGAGTTCGTCAAGGGTGTTGATGGAAAGACCTTCGAGACCCTGAACCCTACCACCGAGCAGGTCATCACCTCCGTGTACGAGGCTTCCGAGAAGGATGTCGACACAGCTGTTAAGGCCGCCCGTGCGGCCTTCGAGGGTCCCTGGAAGCAAGTGACCCCCTCGGACCGTGGCCGTATGCTTACCAAGTTGGCCGATCTCTTCGAGCGTGAGATGGAGACTCTGGCTTCCATTGAGGCCCTCGACAACGGTAAGGCCGTTACCATGGCCAAGGTCGATATTGCCAATGCTGCTGGCTGCCTGCGCTACTACGGTGGCTGGGCTGATAAGATCACTGGCCAGACCATTGATACCAATTCCGAGACCCTCTCCTACACCCGCCACGAGCCCGTCGGTGTCTGCGGTCAGATCATTCCCTGGAACTTCCCTATTCTTATGTGGGCCTGGAAGATTGGTCCCGCTATCGCTGCCGGTAACACTGTGATTATTAAGACTGCTGAGCAGACCCCTCTATCTGGTCTGTACGCCTCTAAGCTTATTGTTGAGGCCGGCTTCCCTCCCGGTGTTATCAACGTTATCTCCGGCTTCGGTCGTGTTGCCGGTGCCGCTATCTCTAGCCACATGGACATTGATAAGATCGCCTTCACTGGTTCCACCCTTGTCGGCCGTATGATTCTCCAGGCCGCCGCTAAGTCTAACCTGAAGAAGGTCACTCTTGAGTTGGGTGGCAAGTCCCCTAACATCGTCTTTGAGGACGCCGATATTGATAACGCCATCTCATGGGCTAACTTTGGTATCTTCTTCAACCACGGCCAGTGCTGCTGCGCCGGTTCTCGCCTGCTGGTCCAGGAGAGTATCCATGACAAATTCGTCGCTCGCTTTAAGGAGCGTGCCGCCCAGAACAAGCTCGGCAACCCCTTCGAGGGTGACACCTTCCAGGGTCCCCAGGTCTCACAGCTCCAGTTCGATCGCATCATGGAGTACATCAACCACGGAAAGAAGGAGGGTGCCACTGTCGCCCTGGGTGGTGAGCGCCACGGAACCGAGGGTTACTTCATCCAACCTACCGTTTTCACCGACGTCACTCCCGATATGAAGATCGCCCAGGAGGAAATCTTCGGCCCCGTCATCGCCGTCACCAAGTTCAAGGATGAGGCTGATGCCATCCGCATTGGTAACAGCACCAGCTACGGTACGTATTGCTTATATCCATGAAACCGTGAATGGTAATTCTAACTGTACACAGGTCTCGCTGCCGCCGTTCACACTAAGAACATCAACACTGCCATCCGCGTTTCTAACGCTCTCAAGGCTGGGTATGTTTTATCTCAATCTTAATCTCAGCTGTAACACAACTAATTCTATTACAGTACCGTTTGGATCAACAGCTACAACCTGATCTCCTACCAGGCTCCCTTCGGTGGCTTCAAGGAGTCCGGTCTTGGCCGTGAGCTCGGTTCCTACGCCCTTGAGAACTACACCCAGGTCAAGACTGTGCACTACCGCCTTGGCGATGCTCTGTTCTAAAAAAAATAATGACAATAAATTAGTTCAGTTATTCAAGCCAATGTGATGATGATACGTGGAAATTATCGTTTTGTATATAATCCAAATTGAAGTGCTTTGGTGTCTCAACTACTTTTCCAATATGTACCACTTTATACTTCACTGTATACTTGTACATAAATTTAAGGGCAAAAGTTCATCTTGGATAATAGGTATTTCTCTATGAAGTAGACAAGTTTACATTACCAATACATGGCTTTTCACTGTAAGCACGGGTCATTGTATGCCGCTCGGTACATCTTCCACCGAGAGGTTCGCGGCTACAACTCCGGGCTAAGTTCGGCAGGATTCTCGGGATTTTAGCGATTGTACTATATATTGTTCTAGAAGTATATGGAACATATTTGGTATGTATTCAATGCTTCAAGACTATAGCAATGTACAAACATCTCAGCGCACTAAGCTAAATGATAAAAAAATAACAACGATTCCTTTCAAAACAAGAAAATCCCCTTCGAACTATGCGCCAACTGCGCCAATCGTAATCCCGTTCGGTAGCTCAAGTCCGATGGGTAGTCCACACAAGAATTTGTCAGTATAGGTTGTGCCACGCTTTATGGCGAGTTTCTCTTCAATATCTCTGTACATATCATAGCTAATTGTTGTTAGTACTGCCCAAAACCTGGAGTTTGTCAAACTCACGCATTCATCTCCTCAATGGTAAGAACTTTCTTTGTGTCTTCGACTTTATAGGTGGGAATATCTTTGTTGACGGAGAAACCTATACACTGGTCAGCAAGCAATACAGGCCAACACTATTGAAAGTCACTCACCAATCCGTTCATTGATATTGTAAGCCGCCTTGGCTGCAGCTGCCTGTACCCTTGTAACACGAGGCAGACGCACTTCCTCGTAAACAGCGAGGGCTTGAGCGATATCCCCAGAGAAATAACGCCTATCAAATAGCAGTCCAAGTGCTGCTGCATCTTCAATAGCCATGCAGGCTCCTTGGCTTTGATGAGGCATCATCGGGTGGCCAGCATCTCCCAAGAGACAGGTGGCACCGCGTTGCATATATGGATACGGGTCATGTACCCAGAGACGCCATGGCTTGATTTCTGTCCCAATCTTCAGATGGTTAAATACCTGTCGGTCCAGTTCCGGGTATGGGTTGAGTAGTTCTTCGATAGGGCGGTCCTCAGCGCCCCATGCCTGTGTTGAATAGTCGCCTTTGTCACGCGGGAAGAAGCAGTAGTACGATAGGAGCTTGCCGCCATTGCAGGGTGACAGAACAATCTTGTCCCATTTGCCTTCCTGTCCACCCCAGTACTCTAGTGCGCTATCCTCGGAGTAGTTGACTAGGCCGAGCTTGATGGCATCCTCGGTTTTGACGTTGGTGTGTAAGCAGCTCTGGTCGGAGGGCCGCTTTTCTGGTGTGATTCCAAGAATACCTCGAACAGCCGATCCGATTCCATCTGCGCCGATGATTAGGTCGTGGCTTATCACTTCACCGTTCTCGAAGACGACGGTACTCGTCTTTAAATCGATATCGCGGCACTAGACAATAGACATTAGCACATGCTTGATTTCGGTCAGTCAAAAGAGGAATGTACTCGGTAGTTCACTTTGAGGGTTGCTGGTGCTCCTTCACCCTCGCCCAGGGCCGAATCCTTTAGCATGGTATGCATGTACTGACGGTGGAACATATTGTATGCATATCCCCAGCGCTTCTCATAATCATCAAGGTCATACACACTAACGGGCTCGCCCGTCTTCCAGTCACGGTTGATGAGCTTCTTCAAAATCACAGGGTCACCCTTGGCGACATCGACCTTCCACTCGTGTAACCAGCGGGTGCCGTTGGCAGCACACGAAACGGAAGCGCCAACTTCGCCTGCAAAGTCTGACTTTTCATAAATGGTCACGGTATGTCCTGCACGACGCAAGGCAACTGCAGCGGACATGCCGCCAATACCGCCGCCAATAATGCCTACATCGAGACTTCTCCAGCCTGACATGGTGCAGATCAATAAAGTTCGTGGATTATAAGATTGGATTGAAGTAAAAAATTGTGAGTGTTAAGATAGATGTATAGAAGATAGATATATAGCAAGATTTCTTAATCTCTATCTCTACTCCGAATATCTATACAACTTCGGCTGGCGGATGATGCACTTCGGGTGGCGGACCGCGCACGCTTATCCTCGGCTTCCATTTAGGGCTTCATCAAGGAAAGAACTTATCTAAATCGGCGGATCATGTTCTGATTCGTTAATTAAATTAACTTTGAATGGCTTCTCGTAAAATGATCTCATGATATTTACTCTCAACTAAGTACATCTTTGTCATGATATCTATCAACTGGACAGGATTCTATTGACAACATTTGAAGTATATTTGGGATAGTCAGCGATATCAGTCCCAAGTCGAGGCGACATTGTAGATGCTGAGTTTGACATTCTTAGTGGCTCCTCCAGTAGATATCAGATGGGTATGAATCGCCTCACTGCTCGGGAAAATTTGAGCTGTGAGAGTAGTCTCTCCCTGGCCCCCGAAAACTTCAACACTAGATCGATCCACGAAAATGCTCAGATTTACTCTGCCGTTGACAACCGATGCTAGCGGTCCACGGTATAGGCTCGCAAAAGTCTTGTCGAAGGATACATCTCCAGACTTGGTGCGGTCAAGGAAGACTTGTTTGTTGACGAAGTCATAACCGATCAGGGTCTGCTCGGTGGAGTCGGTGGAGGCTCGAACAGCAATGGCAAACTGCGAAGCCTTCGAAGTAGCAGAGAAGCTCAAGTCGATCTTGATCGTTTCTTTATTGGCACCCACATAAATGGAGCCTTGGCGAACAGAACTGTAGGTGTGTGAATAGGTCGGGTGCTTGCTGACGATAGAAGACCATGCTTCCTGGGGCTTCTGAACCAGAGTCGCCTTGTTCCCGATTGTCTTAAGTGAGAGATGACGAGGAATAGACATTGCACTTCTCCATGGGTTGGTGGGAATGTTCGGGCCATATTGCCAGTTGTTCATCCACGCGATGTGAGTATAGGAATCAGCAGAGAGGCCATTAAAGCCAGCTGAAGCATAGAAGTCTGGACCCCAGTCCATCCAGTTGGCGGTCGCATTTCCAGGATATACAGAATCGGTGTCGGGGGTGAAGGTAGTGCCGTCAAACTCACCCACGAAGTACTGGGTTCCAGAGCCGACTGTACCGGGTGGCCCGCCGGGGTTGAGTCCGCTGACAATGACCCATTTCGTGGACTTCCCTCCATCCACAGGTAACTTGAAAAGGCCGGGGCACTCCCAAATTCCGCCTTGGGCGTTGTAAGGACCGAACTCACTCGCCAGCTTCCAGTCCTTAAGGTTGTCGGAAGTGTAGATGACAAGCTTATACAATGTGGCCAGAGAAGTGACGACAACCCACTTATGGGACTCCTCGTGCCAGAAAATAAAGGGGTCACGGAAGTTTTGGTACTGGTCTTCGTATGGGGCTGGAGGATTGTAGATAACCGGGTTGGCGGCATCGTACGTAGTCCAGGTTAGACCATCATCAACACTGTAGGCGATAGACTGGGCTTGCTGGTTCTCCCGGATGGTCTTGCCACTCGGAAGGGTCTGCGCAACAGGGTACTATAGAAAGGGAGTGAGCTAGTCATTTCAGCACTATATGTCTGCTGGTGGGTGAGCTTACGCTGGAAGTATACATAGCGATCATGGGGGGCTTCCCATCCTTCCCAAAGCCACTGGTGTTGTTCACATCGACAATTGCACTTCCACTGAAGTACATCTCCGTGACCTCGCCGCCAAATCCCCGGGCAAGAAGGGCGATGGGCTTTTCTTCCCAGTGGGTCAAATCCTTACTAGTGGCATGACCCCAGGACATGTTACCCCATTGGATCCCACCGGGGTTATACTGGTAGAACATATGGTATACCCCATTGTGATACAAGAGACCATTAGGGTCATTCATCCAGTGCTCCTGAGGTGAGAAATGGTATTGGCCACGGTAGGGTTGGTCATAGTTGAAGGCATTTACCATGCCGGAAATTCCAGCTAAGAGACCCGCAAGGGCCTTGAGGTGAACCATGATGAAGGGATAAGTATTTTGTGGAAGAATAATGTTTGTGGCGACATGACTTTATATATATACCTGAGCGATTTGATCTGGGTCCTCCCAAGGTCAGCCAACAGGTTTGATCTGAATATCACACCACATCCATTCCCCATAGTAGGCATACCCCATACTCCGTCGGTCGACTTAGATTTGGCATAGGAGTTTATTCGGACAAACTCAAACTCTCAAATGAACAAAAAGCTTGTGCTTTCTGCTTTGGTGGGGGAAATTTCGGGCCATTTTCGGTGAATCGGAGAGATGAGAGATATCCCGGCAATGTCGTAGGTTGATACCCCATGGGGAAGTGGATCTATCGGCTTCGGGATCATCTGATAGGTGCAGGTTTCGGTAAAGTCTTTGCTTGGAACCTTGGAAATATCCCGACCAACCTCGTGTTGGAGGCCCGTACACCCCGTGATGATTTGAGCCCGCATCTCCGCTTTGTTTATGACCGGAGTATGCAAGTCTCGGCCTCGGAAGTGGCTGATCCGACCTGCTAGCTCTCCCTAGAGAAGGCCGTCGACTAAAAGCTGATTCGCTGAATAGGTAATTTGAAAGGGTATGCCGGCGAAACTTCGCAGATATTAAACGTTACTGAGGGGTCTCGGACGTTTAGTTCGTCGGCTTGAGTGTCTCAAGTTCATTTCTTTGCTGTTCAGACCCCAAAACAATTGGATGTGGCAATCTATTACACTTCGAGGCATACAATCGGAGAAGCAGGGGTTTCTTGATTCACAAAAGTATAAGATCCAACATTTGGCCTCTCCCAGAACGCTCTTCTGAATGATATCTACATCTTACATATCTCCGATTTACTCTACTCCACAAACACCATGGGGGTCTGGCTAAAGAAACCCGAGAATGTACCCGGGGCATCATGGCCAGCCATTGCTATCTCTAGCTTCGTCGCCTTCGGAGGTATCTTGTTCGGGTAGGTTTATCATTCCCACATGAATTTCGGATGTACCTAACTTCTCCCTCAGATATGATACAGGCACTATCAGTGGTATCCTTGCTATGCCACACTGGCAGGATCTTTTCTCAACCGGCTATAGAGATGCTACCGGACATCTCAACATTACCTCTAGCCAGTCCTCTGCTATTGTCTCCATTCTATCGGCCGGAACATTCTTTGGTGCTCTCTGTGCGGCTCCCCTGGGAGACTCCATCGGTCGTCGGTGGGGTTTGATTGCCTCTAGCTGGGTATTCAACTTCGGCGTGATTTTGCAAACAGCTGCTACTTCTATTCCGCTATTCCTTGCGGGTAGATTCTTTGCTGGATTTGGCGTGGGCTTAATTTCTGCGCTGAGTACATACCCCAAACTTATTAACCCATGATCTTCCCAACTAATTAATCTATCAGTTCCTCTATATCAGTCTGAAACTGCGCCGAAGTGGATCCGTGGTTTTATCGTTGGTTCTTACCAGCTAGCTATCACCATTGGTCTACTGTTGGCCTCGGTAGTTAACAATTCAACTCACAATCGGAATGACACCGGTTCTTACCGTATCCCAATCGCTGTCCAGTTTGCGTGGGCTATTGTACTGATTATCGGAATGCTTGTCTTGCCCGAAACCCCCCGCTACCTTATCAAAAAGGATAACCTTGAGAGGGCAACTAAGAACCTTGCAAAGCTTCGACGTCTACCTGAAGATCATATCGCAGTCAGGGAAGAGATTGCCGAGATTCAAGCAAATCACGATTATGAAATGAGCCTAGGCGAGCCTAGCTATCTCGAATGCTTCCAAGGCAACTTGGGAAAGCGGCTATTGACTGGTTGCGGTCTTCAAGCCCTACAGCAACTGACCGGCATCAACTTTATCTTCTATTACGGCACACAGTTCTTCAAAAACTCCGGATTCAAGAACGAATTCATCATCAGCCTTATCACAAACTGCGTGAACGTGGTTTCGACTATTCCTGGTCTCTACGCAATTGATAAATGGGGCCGCCGGCCTGTCCTCCTTCTTGGTGCCGTCGGCATGTGTATCTCTCAGCTTCTGGTTGCTGTCCTGGGAACGACGACCACTGGCCAGGATGCCGCTGGCAACATCATTGTGCAAAATGCCGCGGCCCAGAAAGCTGCCATAGCATTCATCTGCATCTTCATCTTTTTCTTCGCTGCATCCTGGGGACCTATTGCTTGGTAAGTCATCATCGGTTCTTTGAAGTCAAACATAGCTAATATGGGAGCAGGGTTGTTACTGGTGAAATTTTCCCTCTGAAGATTCGTGCTAAGAGTTTATCCATAACCACTGCCACCAATTGGCTGGTTAACTGGGCCATCGCTTACTCTACCCCGTATCTGGTGAATTATGGACCGGGCAATGCCAATTTGCAGTCGAAAATCTTTTTCATCTGGTTTGGATGCTGCTTCCTTTGCATTGCATTTGTTTATTTCATGATATATGAGACCAAGGGACTTTCCTTGGAGCAAGTGGATGAGCTGTACTCTGAAGTCAGCAACGCGCGGAAATCAGTTGGCTGGAAACCCACTGTCACGTTCGCGGAGATTGTGAACCAAAAGCGAGGATCGGTCAGCCAGAGCCAGCATGATGAGGATGTGGAAGAGAAAGCTTAGGCCAAGGGACTATATCGTTGGAACTGTCAGACGGTAGCTTTACAACCCCAAAATGATGCGGCGTCTGTGTGAGCTGATGGGTATTGGGGAAAATTCAAGACTCCGATACGGGGTATGGAAGATATGAAGTAGCAGGGTTTCAAGACCTTTGTTGACGCTACTATTTTACTAAGATTGAGATGTTTGGACGGGAAACAGGCAATTTATTAGCAATTCATCCCTTTAATTACTATAAATGCAAGTTCAGACTCTAACAAGGAACTTAATAATCATCTTTTAAACCAACTCAACCCCCTTCTCCACTGGCATGAACTACCTTTCTTCCAATACCACGCGATGACTCTGACAAGGGAGATCATTGAAACATGGGGTATTTCCTATTTGGGTGGGAATCCTATCTCTTCCGCCCCATCTATATACAACATCCCTACTTTGTTTGCCACTCCTTTACTATATTTTTGCCAAAGGCTAAAGCGAAAAACAAAAACATACAACAGTGAGGATTCGCTGGTGGTCACCAACCCAACTACACTTACCGGCGTGTGGCTAAAACTAGTGAGTTTCGGCGGTGATTGAAACTCCAGCGGTTTTTATACATGCTAGCTAGAATTGTATATATCTAGCGATCTCTAGGGCTACCTTTTTGTGTGTAAATTCTCATGCAGAGGTAATTAAATACCATGGAATTTGCAGACTGATCCCTTCATTTTGACAAAAGACTGAGAGTACAACCAAAGGCCAACAGCTTTGTACAATACTGACTAGTTATGTAATGGAGACACAATTCCACTGCTTTCTCTTCTTTAGTTCCCGTCCCACCAAGTGTAGTTGTTAGTTTCGGCAGGAGTGTCAAACACTAGCTCGGAGCTACTGTTCAAGGGTCTGTCGGGCCAGACGTTGAGCAAGCCATCCCAGATCTCAATATCTCTGTACTGAACGCTGACGCCGGGTGCATTGTACAAAGCAAAGCCATTGCTGTCCTCTCTGCTGGGATAGATCCGGCCAGTGAGAGCGAAGCGATCATTCACAAAGACTTCCACAAGGGAGCCGTCGACGAATATGTTCATTTCAATCGGTTCTGTCACAGGACTACCGCCATGAATTCCTGCCATCTGGTAGGGCTCAAAGTACCCAGCCAGTGTCGTGTTTGGGAACGTCTTGATCTGAGAGGAGTAGGCGCGGTCCAACACGACTGACTTCTTGGAGGGATCGTAGTAGATGTTCGTGTACTCTTCGCGATTGGGCGAGGCAGCGACCGTCACACCTGTGACACCCGTGGTGCTTTTGATATTCAGTTTCAATTCATAGGAATTACTGAGAGTGCTGGGCAGGCGGATTTTGCTGGTGTTGCTGCACATCTTCTTGCTACAACGAGACTTGGTGTGCTGAGAGCCACGGCGAAGACCCGTAACTACATCGCTGGCCGCGCGCACGCCCAGAGTGCTTGCAGTCCAGGTACCATTGGAGTTTAACGTATAGCGGGAGTTTCCAACGGTGGCATCAGCAGAGTTGTGGACAACACCGCTGGTTTCTTTGATGAAGAGTTCCCGGGCCAAGGACAGCGCACCTTGGTAGCCTTGCTGCACGATGCCGAAGTTGTCCATGTCCTCACTTGCCCAGCCATACTGAATACGGCGGTTGTTCTTAGTGTCATTGAACGAGGTGATCTGGCAGATCATGTTAGTTTCCATCGTTCGATGAGATTGCGTGGTACAGTTATGATCTGATTCTTACCGCATACAGAATACCCCAGTCGCTCGCACCGCCTGAGACAGGGTTGAAGGCTATGCTACCATTCGGACGCGCGGAAATTTCTCCCTCATTCCACAAAGACCACCTCCGGTCATGGAAGCTGACCTCGCCTCCTTCAGCACCCATGCTGACGAAGTAGCGGTCGTCAATAGTGAAAAAGTTGGAAACTTCAAAGTTGAGGCCATATGATCCAGTTTCCTCCAATGAGCCCAAGGTACTGTTCGCTGCGGGTTCCCACAGAGCACCAAGGAAAGTCCAATTGGTGAGATCAGATGCGGAGGCACTGTATAAGGGCATGCGAGGGCCAGCGCCTTTAATACCGGAGCCCAATATGGCATAGTAGTGAGGCTCGGAATTTCCTACTAGCGAGTCCAACTGGGGAAGCGGGAGGTAGAAGGGATCCCGCCAGCCGGTGACATTCCAACCGTCAGGTGGACTGCTGATGACTGGGTTGTTGGCATATTCTTGCCATGTCACTCCACCGTCGGTGGAGTATGCCAGACTTTGGCTTTCGGTCCCAGGGAGATAGGGTCGGGTATACGAGGTTGGCAGTTTTGAAACGGATGTGTAGAAGGCGAGAATTGTTCCATCGACTTCGCCAGAGATATTCACGGGCTGGGCTGTTCCAGAAAAGATGCC